GGTACGGTGCCCTAATTAAATGGATACCGCGGGTCATCGGAACTTTGCATCGCTTAACGTACGTGCAAGTTAAACGGGGCTCTACCGTAATTTTTGCGCGGCTGCAAGGTGTAATTAAGGACTAGTATAAAGGGTAGTTGAAATTATAAGCTCTTCGGGGGGGATTGAGGGAGAGCGAAAAACGCAGAAAAAGGGGGCAAGGTGGTCGAAAGCCGTCTTGGGGATATTCTACCATCTTCGTGTTTGTATTCGGATCAACTACTACATAAAATGCGCAAAAGCAGGAGGAAAGTCACGCCATTATATAGAAGAAAAGGGATTACATGTACCGGAACCTTCCCCCGCCACAAGCGCCACACACCTTTGGGGCCCCGCCCGTGGGGGGTGAGGCAGAAACACAAGTATGAATATAAGCTTCCACCTGAGTTCCTTTCATATCAACTAATTGCCAACTAAATTGCCAATAAATTACTATTATAAAATGTGTGTACCCATAGGCATATATGTGTGTGTATATGCGCATACACACACACACACACACACACACACATGCAGTTCCAGCCTTTCCTCCTTGCTTCCTCTTGCAGGCAGCTCAGACACAAGCCTCCGACCCCGGAGAAGAGCTTCACCGGATCATGGGCGCCACGTAGTTGGCAGGGAAGAGGCCCAGCTTGTTGTGCAGGCGGCCCGTCCACCAGGACGGGTTGGAGCTGTCCAGGACCTCGACCACCTCTCCGGAGCGGAATCCCAGCTCGTCATCCTCCAGGGCCTCAAAGTCGTACAGCGCCTGGGCCCACCGCACTCGCTGTTGGGGGAAATCACAGGGGGTCCTGCTGAGTTGGGGCGGCCTCCGAGCCACTGTCACACAGAAGAGAATCTGCTGGCTTTGACATCCAGGCAAAGTCCTCGGCGAGCAGCCTGCCCTGAAGGCTGACGTTGCCTCTCCAGAGACAGTTCACCGCCGCCCCCCCCCACCCCCGCTGCGATGGAAAGCAGATGTGGGCTGCAAGGCCCTGAGCTCCAAGTCACCAGAGTCATCATTGAGGCTCAGGACTTGGGCTGACAGAGTCTCCAAGGCCCCAAGAAAATCCTTGAGGACAACTCTCCCTACGTCGACAGGTGCTCTTTCTACTTTGTTCACGTGACAAACAGAACGGCAGTGCCCAAATGGGCATCTCCCTCCACCAGAACCAGAGCCAAGAAATGGGAGAAGGACGGGGCAAGGCTGACGGCCAGCCGAGAACAAGGGGCTGGATTGTGCTGGGCTGGGACCAGCCCCACGGGAACACTCCCCCCATGGTCACTATCTGGGTTCCCACTACCTCTATTTGAGCTCCGTGCAGTTTGGCATCTTTCCTGGAGAACCAACCGTTTCTCTAATTGCCTATCTTACCTCCTCCATTGGGCCCAGAGGGAAAGTTCACGTACCCCGGCCACCTGGAGTTGCACTGGGTCTGTGTGTCTCCGGTGCATGAGGGTGGCATTCATTTCGCTGCCCATGCCCATGCCCAGGCCACAGTGTCCGTCGTTTATGTCAAGGCTGCCTCCACGGCGCTCCTAGAAACAGATGCAAGAGAGGAGCTGTCATCACGCCACCAGAGCACCCCTCACTGTCTTCCCCAGGCCTTGCTCGGATAAACACGGCCAGGGTTCCAGTAATACTTGCTGATGATGGCAATAAACCCTATAGATGATGGCGAGAGGGGGAGGGATGACAAAGGTACTTAAGATTATGAAGACAAAGATGATGGCAGGTCCCATTTATTCAATCAAGAAATGCTTGCCAAAACCGGTTTGGCTCAGTGGATAGAGCATCGGCCTGCGGACTGAAAGGTCCCAGGTTCGATTCCGGTCAAGGGCATGTACCTGGGTTGCGGGCACATCCCCAATAGGAGATGTGATAAGTGAGCAGGGAGACGAATGTCTCAGTCTGCCTGGGTAATCAGGGAGGGCTTCATAGAGAAGTGATGCTTGAATTCCAACTTAAAGGGGGAGCGCCAGGAAAGAGCATTTGAGGCATGTACTTCATACTGTTCTAAGCAATGGGGACACGTAGCTGGAAAGAGAAGGTCCCTTGTCTTCACGGGGCGTCAGTTCCGAGGGGGAATCATGCACATGTAAGTGATAAGTGAGCAGGGAGACGAATGTCTCAGTCTGCCTGGGTAATCAGGGAGGGCTTCATAGAGAAGTGATGCTTGAATTCCAACTTAAAGGGGAGTGCCAGGAAAGAGCATTTGAGGCAGAGGGGACAGCATATAAAAAGCCTCAAAGGCATGAAAGAAGATACAATGCGCCATGCCAGTAACTAAAGGTAGCGGAACACTGCTGAAATGTGTGTGTGTGTGGGGAGCAGAGGGAGGTAGCAGGAGAGAGGCTGGGGGAACAGATATGAGCAGCTCACAAAGGACTCTGTATGCCCTGCTAAGGAATTTAGGAACGATGTTATCTGGCAGTATTGTCCATCTCGGTAAGCCGCCTCAAATCCCATCTGGATAAGGCGGGGAGAAGTAAATAAATAAGTAAGTAAGTAAGGCTCCACGGCAGGTGTTAATCCGTCTTTCTTGTAGATCGCCACAGCCAGGTGGGGTAAGGGACGTGAACAGATTTGAAATTGTGCTGATAGAAAAATGAAGCAATTGTTCCCTGAATCCTTGGGGTAAGAAAGGGTGTGAGTGTGTGTGTGTGAGTGTGTGTGTGTGTGTGTGTGTGTGTGTGTGTGTGTGTTCAGGCAGGGAGCAGTTTGATTCACACAGGCTTCTTTGCCAAAGCAGTTTCCATATCATATTTCTACCACTTGGGGCCCCAGCATCATCATCATCATCTTCTTTTTTAAAAAAAAATATGTTTTTATTGATTTCAGAGAGGAAGGGAGAGGAAGAGAGATAGAAACATCAATGATGAGAGAGAATCATTGATCGGCTGCCTCCTGCACACCCCCCACTGGGGATCGAGCCCGCAACCCTGGCATGTGCCCTTGACCGGAACTGAATCTGGGACCTTTCAGTCCACAGACCGACGCTCTATCCAGTGAGCCAAACTGGTTCGGGCCCCAGCATCTTCTTTACGAACTTCATGAGACCTGCTGAGGGGGGGCCAGGCCAGCAGCCCCGGGCCCCAGCAGAACCACGGCGTTTACTTGCTATGGCTGTTTCCAGCCTCGCGGGAGGTTCTCACCCAGTAAGTGGCAGTGGGAACAAGGTGACCTGAGCCTCGATGTGGGGGTGGGGGAGAGAAGGGCCTGCCCCCCACCTCACTGTGCCCGCTCCATCCCTTCCAGATACCTGGTGAAAGTGGTGATGCTGCAGGTACCGCTGCTGTGCCGGTGGTGGGGCCGGGGGATACTGTGATGGAGGGGGCGGTGGGTGATCCGACAGCTTCCGGTTCATCGCAGGCCGGGTTTCTTCTCCCACAGCCCCACTGATATGTGGGCCTCCCTGGGGCCATCGGTCCAGGCTGTTGCCCCGGCGACCCTGGGAGAGAACAGAGATGATCCATCCTCCTCCCATGTCTCCTGGCTCCACCCCACCCATCAGACAGCTGTTTCCAGACTTTGCTCATGACAGCTCCGAGAAACTGCTGACAGGTTGGGGAGCATCTTAGAGAGAATCCATGGTTCAGACCTTCAGATTCTCCTATTTTGGGGATATCAGGTCTCTGGGTCACAGACTGACACTTTCCATATGGTCTCCATTTAGTCCATTCCTAGTGGGCTTGTTTTTTCTCTGTGTAACCAAGCTTAGATAGTCTCTTTTTTATTCTGACACAATGCCACCCCTCCTTATCGCATGTTGCCATAATGCTGGACATGCTACCCTCCAGATAAGCTCTGCTATTGACTTTGCATGATTCTGAACTGTCATTTATAGCCTGGTGACGAGACACAAACACAACCCTCTTGCAGCACCATGGAAACCAGGCCTGCACTGGGCATGCTGGGAGGAGCAAGGCCTTCTTCTTAAGGGTCTCCACCTCAGGAAGCAGAGGGTTATTTTTATGTAACAAGTGTAGAGGGGTTTAGTGTATGCCAGGCAGTGTTCTAAGCACTTTTCAGATACGAACGCATTTAGTCCAGTTTAGGGCAGTTTCATGTGGCCTCTCTCTCTCTGCATGCACATCCTAGTAAATGAATACGCCTGTCCGTTTCCTGGTTACAATAATTCACAAGGTCTTGGCTGACCTTTGTTTTTCTTTCTGAGCTTCTGTGTGCACTTGGTGGGAACACCCTTTTCTCCTTTGATTGTAACTTCTCAGGCTGAAAAGCAGCCAATTACTTGAAAGGGACGGTTTCCTTTGTTTCCCCACAGCATGTGTTGCTTTGAAAGTCTCAATGCCTTTTCAAAGAACCCATCCCTGGGATTTCAGCTACTCTAGTCAACGCTTCCTCCTATACCTCTCTCTTATGTTTTTTTCCTTTGAAAAGCATTTTATAAATTGTGTGTGTGCCTGTGAATTTACTTGTGGAAGACAAGTTAGTATTTTCATTGCATCTACTATGGACCAGAATCTGTGGCAAGTGCTCTAACTATATTTTCTCAATTAATCCTCATAATAGCCCATTCTATACTCAGGTTTCTTTTTTGTTTTTGAAATTTTTTTAAAAATCCTCATCCGAGGATATATTTTTATTGATTTTAGAGAGAGGAAGAGGGGTAATGACAGAGAGAGACATTGATGTGAGAGAGAAACATTAATCAGTTGCCTCCCGTATGTGCTCCCAACTGGGGATCAAACCTGCAACCTGGGTATGTACCCTGACTAGGAATAGCACCCACAATCCTTTGGAGCACGGGATAACACTCCAACCAAGTGAGCCACCGGCCAGGGAAGAAAGGTTTCTTAACTTGGAGAGGTCACAGGATAGCTAGTGATGGAATCTGGATTTAAAGCCGGGTCTGTCTGATGCATTTTCTGTGAAAACAATACTCTATATTCCAAATTTTCCAAGAGCAAGAATTCCAGGACTATGCTAAGTACTATGAATCCTGTACTATGCTAAGTCTTCTACCCCAATGCCTCCTCTCCACCCCACATCCTGTCACAAAGCTCTAGCTCTGGGCGGAAACTGATGTAGTAATGTCGGTAACAAAATGATGGCATCCAGTGAGAGCTCACTGCACCGAGTACGCGGTGTGGTTAGGAAAGATGTACAGGAAGGGGACGCATTATCTTCTCACCTTCACAACCATCCTAGGAGGTGGATAGCACTGTCATCCCCATTTCACGGATGAGGAAACTGAGGATCGGAGACCTTTCCAAAGTCACCTAGCTAGGGGTTTGAACTGAGATCTGACTTTGCAGTTATTCTACCTTTCAGAATCCTCAGAGGACCTGCCCATCAAATACATCGTCTTGGTGGTTCATGTAAGACTCCAGCTGCCTAAAATATCTAGATGGGCTGGGCCAGTGTGGCTCATTGGTTGAGAGTCGACCCATGAACCAGGAAGTCACGATTCGATTTCCAGTGAAGGCACATGTCCGGTTGCAGGCTCAATTCCCAGTAGGGGACTTGTAGGAGGCAGCCAATCAATGATTCTCTGTCACGCTGATGTTTCCATCCCTTTCTCCCTCTCCCGTCCTTTCTCTGAAATCAATTAAAAAATGTTAAAACACTTTTTTTTTCAATCCCGAGATGGGCTGACCTGGTCCTCTCGCGTCCTATCCCTCAGGAAGATCTGCTTCTGTTTGGAGATAGAAGTTGTCCTGTAGTAGTCCACCAGCTTGTTGAGGGATGGAAACTTCTCTGTCCATAGGAAGTAGTTACCCTTGCTGTCTCTCATGACCTTGAAATGTTGAACATCATCCTCGTGCCTAGAGATCAAGGCAAATCCAAACTGTGTGTTACATGGTGACCGTGTCCCCACCTTCGGGGTTGATGGCACCTGGGGATGCCAAGCGAGTTCTGTTAGGGCAGGACATGGAGATATGGGGAGCTTGCTCATCACTAGGCAGGTGGGCTGGGCCAGTCAAGCTCTAGGAGGAAAGGGCTGTTCAGGAAACAGGCTGCACTAGAGCAGAAGGTAATGTGTCTTCTGACACTGGAGTCGACCTTTGACAAGAAAAAATGTGCCAAGTGCTTTAAAGTGCCAAGTGCTTGACTATGAGGTCAAGGACCTTTTGACTATGTTTATCTGAAATATGGCCACCCCTGAGAAATGTACTATGCTAAGGACTCTGCCAAGACTCAGAAGTGAGGGGTTCTTAAGCCCTTGTTATCTTTCCGTTATCAGAAATACCTTGAACCAGCTCCTTCAAACCCATAGACTTGCTCTGGACAGTCAGACACTACCTTGAGAAATGTGTCATGCTTGGTCTCTACATCGGTCTCTTGGTCTTGCTTTAGTTTTGCATAAATAAGGTTGCAAAGCATTTTGAGCTTTTGGGGAAAGAAATATTACATAGCATTGTAGAGTTTTCATGGGAACAGACTTCAGAGATTATTGATCCTTATGTCTCCATGTCACAGCTGAGGATGCTGATGCTCCAAGATGCTTGGTCAAGGTCCCGCGAATGAATGGCAGAGCTGAGGCAAGAACCCCGGGTCTCTGACTCCTGCCTGCCACACCATGTGCACATGCTAACTCCTTTAGATGGGCATCTTTTAACACCAGCTGGACTCACAGGGCAGGGGCACATTTGTAGCGGGGTGGAGAGATTGGATTTTATTCATCACAAAAGGGAGGACTGGACCTTTACTAATAGCTCCAAGTCGTTCTATTTAGGATATCAAGTTTATGTGTGAAATGGACACACATTTATATCTAAAAGTTAACTGATGTTAATAGTGCCAATTGCCTGATCCAGCAGAAAAATAAGAATTTAGAGTATCGGAGAGTAAAGCTACGTCTGAAGGATAGTGGCGCTTTCTTGGGGATGGAGTTAGTGGTCTGTGCTCAGAGGGGACAGGAATTACGATCACCAGTATCATTTACGTGCTGGGCTCTGCTCATGGGCAGGTGAACCCATGCGGTGACCTCTGCTTTGGCTGCTCTGGGGTGGTAACCAGCACTGTGCAATCATGGCCTGGCCGTTCACAGATGTTTCCTTCCCTGTAACACCACATGGCTCAGCTCATAGTCATTACCCCTCACATTTGGGTGAAGAGGAGGGAATATCCTTGCGGTATATTATTCATCCGCCGCCTCTGGCCAAAGACCACAGAGTGAGAAACATTAAACCTTTCACTCTCATGAGCTGGGAGGGGGGATGCCAGGATTTTGGTGGAGAGAGCGTGTTCTGCGAGGGGCAGAGAAAAGGCTAAAATTTAGTGTTTCAGATGCTTATCAAATGCTAAGTGACAGAATTACAATTAGCTCTTAATTATCTGTGCCCATGACAGAAAGCAAATGTGTAAATAAATAAATAAAAATGACTTCACTCTGGAATGCATTACCCTACTTTTCTGCAGAAGATGAGATCATGATTATGGTAATAATCACTGTTACCGAAGCTGCATTGCCTGAATAGCAGGGGAAGGCTCTGGCGGAAGGCAAGGCTGACTGCTTTATAGAATCTGCTTCAATCAAGGAAATGTACTAGGAAGTCATAGCTCCGGGCTGAAGAGGCCAGAGCCAACTTCATGCCAACCACAGGCACCAGGAGGTGCCCTTCAGTCTGACAACTCACTTGATCCATCCCATAATCAAGGCCCTTAAGAACTAGGTTAGGCTTGTAAGGTTTACTGACAGAGCAAAATTTCATTAAAAGATGTAACAAGTTTAGAATTGTGAGACATCAGTATTGGCCTGACCTAGAATATACCGCTGTCCAAGCTGTGAAAAAGAGAGGAAAATTAAGAGTTTAAGTGAGACTGCAAGGGCAATGCGCACAAGCCCAAGCTATTTTTGAGAGGCACATGCACATACAAATCACTGACCCATTATTTGTCAGCCCCTCCTCCCTAGTCCTTAAAATATCCATTCTTTCTAAATAGTACAGGGACCTCAGTTTATTAGCCGAGATTGGATTTATGTACCTAAAGCACTCAAGCCGCAGGCCTTTCAAAATGTACTGAATAATCCAGATCAGCATTTCCTGTCAACTAACTCGACAGCAGGCTTCACTGTGCAGGCTGTCACCCTCCCGTGCTGCCATCAGCATGAATTCTTGCACTTTCACATGTGGTCACCAAGTCTGAAACGTGACTGCAACCCCAGACATGCTGACCACACGCCGAGTGTTCAGACGTGGGGCTTCTGAGTGCGGCGCTGCGTCACGCTTGTGCCTGGACTGAGTCACTTCCTCTGGGTGCTGAGCATTAGGGAGTTTGTTCGTCTCCCCACCCCGGCCGCCTCGGCTCTGCCCTGCTGCCTCTGTTGTAGGTGTGTTGTGTGGCCACCCCCCACCCCATCTGTACCCCATAGCGGTGACTAGGGGTTTTCATTTCCCTCCGACCCTGCCTCAGACATCCATCTGTAGTGAAAGGTTACAATTTAGATCTCAAGATGGATGTGGACAATTCTCCCCACTTCTCTCCACAAATACTCATCATGCACCACTGGGCACAAGGCACTGTTAAAGGTGCAGAGATGAGGTGGATAAAAATCCCATCCTTCCGGAAGCACCTGCGCTAGAGGGGGAGGCAGAGAAATGTGCGCATGCTTTTGGCCACAGACCAATGTGCCTAGGAGTTTACATGCAAGTGCCATGGGAAGCAAGTGGACAGCATCACAGTTGATAAGATGCCTGGGCCCCTTGGCCACCATGCTCCTGAGCAATAGGTCACGTGCAAGAGGTCACTTCATGGCTTAGAGGTCCGGGTCAGGGCGGTGTCGGGGATGACAGTACCTGACAGATATGGAGAAGTCCCCTGGGGAGCTCTGGCTGGCCCGGATGATGAAGAAACCAACCTCCTTGGCCATGAGTAAGTTCTCTGCCTGGTGTCGCGAGAGGCCTTCGTGAAACCATCTACCGGGTGAGAAAACCACAGGATTTTGGTGAGATGCCAGAGCGATAAGAGGGGGAAGTAGAAGTGCGATAACCCCAAGGAGGGAGGCTGGGGACAGCAGCGGGGAAGGAGAAAGAGGGGCCAGGCGCTCTGGAAGCCCAACAAACGTGCAGGCGTGCTCAGGCACAGGAGTGAGTGTGCCTGTGACGCCCCCTCTGTTCCCTCCAGGAGAAGCCCCTCCAGCTCGGGAAGAGTCGCAGCTCGGGAAGAGTCGCAGCCTTGGCCCAGGTCTCACTCAGTGCTCGGCCAAGGCTGCAAGGCACCGGGGAAGCCCTGCACAAGCACTTGGAAGTGAGCGAGGCCGGCAGCAGCCCGAGAACCATGTCTACAGAGCGGACTCCTGGGCCTCCTCAAAAATCCAGGCTGAAAATAACCTTTACTGCGGAAAAGGAGAAACCGAGGAGAAACTGCCCTTTCAGGGGGCAGCGAGGGTGGCGGCCTCGGAAGTGTCAGGCCGCCTGTCATCTATGGAAAAGGCCGCATTTCTAGTATTTTCACTGTAAGCTATTTGCCGGAAACATCTTTGCCACAAGCCCTTTTGCTAATGGCCACAAGGCAATTTTGCAGTAAAAAAAGTTAAAATCACAAAAAATAAAAGAACATAAAATTAAAAAGGCTTCATTTGAATACAGTTGAAGTGTATTCATGGCAGTGCTGCGCAGATAACGGATTTTATTTTGGGGATCGTAGCTGAGCACTTGTCATCGTTCTGTGGGAAATGTGGGTTCAACTCTGCGCCCGCACAGGGCCTCGCTTCTCTCCTCCAATTAGTGTGTTTGAACACAAGAAACCCACCTTTGGGGCCAATCTTCCTCCTCTGGAAGAAATGCTATGCTAAGACCCCAACCAGTCTCCTCTCACTGTAGAGACCGTGAAGAGGGCTGGCTAAACCTCACAGACAGTATAGAAATGGGAGGAACTGGAGAACTTGTCAATGGAGAAATGTAACAAGATGACAACTAGCTTAAATGCACTGTGTGTGGAAGGCAATTGATCGGTTCATCAATGGAGAAATGAAACCAAGCAAACAAGCAAAAAAATCAAAATCAAACTGCCAAACAATTATTTTCTTTTTTATGGCAGTTGATTGATTTGTCAATAAAGAAATGAAACCAGAAGAAAAAAACAATTGTCAACGAGTTATTTATCTTTTCTTTTTACGGCAAAATTGCCTTCAGCCAATTAGTTAAATGGGGGAAATGTCTGTAGCAAAATGTCTACAGCAAGGACTCTACTAGGGAAGCACCCAGACAGAAAGGGCCAAGCACCTCCACAGGCCAGGCAAACAGTGGCCACACCTCTCACCCACAGGAAAGCGAAACAAGTATTTGCAATCACTCGGTGGCCAAAGGTGGGACTGGGTCCCATTGCTCCCAGGTGGGTGCCCTATGTGCTGCCACTGGAAGGCCCTTTAAGGCAGCGGTTCTCAACCTGTGGGTTGAGACCCCTTTGGGGGTCGAACGACCCTTTCACAGGGGTCGCCTAAGACCATCCTGCATATCAGATATTGACATTATGATTCATAACAGTAGCAACATGACAGTTATGAAGTAGCAACGAAAATAATTTTATAGTTGGGTCACAACATGAGGAACTGTATTTAAAGGGCCAGAAGGTTGAGAACCACTGCTTTAAAGTGAATGTCCAACAGGCACGGCGTGGGATGCCTTTAAAAGTGAGCAATCCCTGTGCTCTCTAGAATTTAGGAATCCGAACAGACAGGGATGGCAGGAGAATGTCCTTACTCCAGGACCGTAGGTGCCGGTGGGGTCGGCTCTGAGGGGCTGGAAGAAGAGGGTCTGGTGATCACTTGCCTAGAGATCCTGCCCAGAGTATTTGCCACAAGTCCTGCAGGGATTTGGGTAGGAAACCTAATGGGGATGGGAACAAGAACGGGACACGCTCCACAGCAGCCACACCTCAAAGGAAATATATCAGACGAGGCAGCAGGTAATAAGGGGATTGTTCAGAAAATACACATTTGTCCTCTGACTGGAATTTGATAAGTGACACTTTTTAAGACTTGCAAAGCTGTCCACACACTACATATTAAACGAGTGGCCAGGGTTTCAATGTTACATATCATTCCAAAGCTATTCATTCATTCAATAGCTTTTATTAATAAGGGCTGGGCCAGCCCTGGCTGGGTAGCTCAGTTGGTTAGAGCGTCGTGCTGATATGCCAAAGTAGCCGGGTTGGATCCCTGGTCAGGGCACATACAGCAATCAACCAATGAATGCATAAATATGTGGAACAACAAATCAATTTTTTTTTCTCTCTCTCTCAAATCAATAATTCAAAAAAGTGCTGGGCCCTCTTCTGGGCACTGAGGGTAAGTGGTGAGCAGAAGAGACCAAAACCCCTGCCCTCAGGGACCTTACATCCTAGGGGCGGGGTGCACAGTAAACAACAGAATAGGTACCATAGGCCATGTGTCAGGGGAGGAGAAGAGCAGGAGACAATGAAAACAAAGAGGAGGGGTGGGGAGTAGGGTACAGTATCTATACTAATAAAAGCCTATGTGGTCGTCACGCCCTCACGCCGTGATGCCCTCACGCCATCACAATCCATCACCAGGAGGCTGCATGGACAGCGGGCGCACGGGTGGGCAGGACTGCGTGCTGGTGAGGTGCACGTGGGTGGGTGGGGGCTTGGTTCTGCAAGGCCCAGAGAGAGAGAGGGCGTGGCAGCAGCGGTGCACCGGAAGTCCCGCCTCTACACATGTGAGCTGCACAGGAAACACCTTTTCTGACCACTCATTGGCTAAGCTCATGGTACGCCACTCGAAGTGTTCTTGGTACCTTGGGTAATAAGAATCCAAGAAGGGGATCTAGGGTTTTTCCACCTCACTCCTGGAGGAAAAAATGAAGGTCCACTGCTGGAGGGGATAAGAAATGTCATATTCTGCCCTAGCCGGTTTGGCTGAGTAGATAGAGCCTCAGCCTGCGGACTGCAGGGTCCAGGTTCGATTCTGGTCAAGGGCATGTATCTAGGTTGCAGGCTCCTCCCTGGCCGGGGCCCAGGTCAGGGCTCATGCAGGAGGCAACCAATCTAAGTGTCCCTTTCACATTGATGTTTCTCTCTGTCTTTCCCTCTCTCTTCCACGCTCTCTAAAAATCAATGGAAAAATATCCTCAGGTGCCTTCCCCTGATCATCCTGGTCGCCTCCCGTGGCTTAGGAGAGGGAGTAAGCCGTTAGTAGGACATCCCCTCGGGCTTCTGGACTGTGAGAGGGGGCAGGCCGGGCTGAGGGACCCATGTATGAACTTCGTGCACCGGGCCACTAGTTTACAATACCCTGCACGAGGGCCTCACTGGGAGGGCGTGTTCTAAACTACAGGAGCTTGGGAAGATGAGGAGAAAGCAGCAAAGGGGACAGAGGAGGAGTAGTCAGGAGGAAGGGTGTCCCAGAGCCCAATGAAGAGGGAGAAAAAAATCTAACTGTGCTGAGATAATGGCCAAGAATTGACCACCGGGACTGTATGTAGTTCACTGTGACCTTGATAAAAAGGGTTTGCAGGAGTGGAAGGATTCTAAAGAGAGTGTGAGTGGGGGAGTTAGAGATAATTAATATAAACAACTCCTTTGAAGAAGTGGAGTGGTAGCTGGAAGGGGATTTGGGATCCAGAGTTTTTTGTTTTGCTTTGGTTTTGGGCTGGGGATGGGAGAAATCGCAGCGTTGTTTGCTGATGGGATGACTGAGCAGAGGGAAAGACAGTTGATGTGGGAGAGAGAGAGGAGAATTTTTGCTGGAAGCACAGACGGTTCTTTCCGAGCAGGGTCTGAGCGCAGTGGCAGGAGGTGGGTGGATGCAGTGAGTCAGGAGCGGGTGGAGTGGAGGGGCTTTTCCGGTGGCTTCCACTGTCCCAGTGACCCAGGAAGCAAGGCCCTGGGCTGAGAGTGCGGTGGCGGAGGCGCTGGAGGGCTGAGGAGCAGGGAGGGCATGATGTGGTCATCCAGTCATCCAGAAGATTAAGGGCAGCACGGGGGGCTGGTGGAGGACAGTGGTCAGCACTGGTTCACAGGAGCGCTGCTGCACTTCCCCACTTTGGTTTTCTAGCAAACCTTTGCTCTTTGGCTAGTCCCTGCCGCTCAGACAAGATTAGCTTTCTATCTAACCCTTGTGGTCAGTTCTTGAGACAAATGAGATTCAATCTCAAATTTTCATTTCCTCTTTATGAAGGGAACTTCCCCTTCTTTCCCACTGACTTTTTTTTTGGTATGAGCATGGTTTCAGGAAGGCAGGGAGTGGCCGCAGGCCTGCCTAGGGCCAGAGCTGTTTGGGATCCCTGGTTGGGAGGGAGGGCTGGTTGGTTGGGAGATAATGAAGTGCTTTGAAGTAGCTGCTCTTGAAGTTCAATGGCCAACAGTGCCCCCAGTGGAATTCTTGGAAACCCTGTGATTACAATTATAGATGATTTTAGTTTATGAACTTTAAACAGGTGGTATAAAATTCAAAAGAGAATGCAGTGAAATGCAAATCTCCCTCCCACCCCTGGCCTTCAGCTGCGTGGTTCCCTCTCAAGGCAACCATTTTTGACAGTCTCTTGGTGTGCACGGATAATTTTAGTGACTGCTGAGCAGTAAGGGGAGTGTGTGTGGGTAGGCCCATCTCAGCAGGCTGGAAATACTTACTCAGGAAACTGGATGTCTATAAAATTCTTGGGCACGTATCCTTCTTGGCTCCCAAGCTCTGCCTTGAACCACTCCTCTTGGTTACTTAAGATCTACATGGACGAGAAGGAAGGACAAAGACACTGCAGGGAGGACACCAAGAAGCAAAAGAAAGGGGCTGTGGGGTGTGGGTTTAGAGAAAATAAATCAAAGAAACCACACAGCTGCCCGAGTGGGGGAGCAGCAAGGTTATCTTTGGGGTTTAGCTTTTCTTGACCCCAAGCTGTTTCTGTCCATGAGTGCCACCTACACAGGTGACCCCGCCATGGTGCGGCCTCCCAGACTCAGCACTCAGGGGCTTCCCAGAACCCCTTTCTCTTTCTAGTTTGGAAATTCATGTGCCCCAGACCTTAGCACCTAAGCTCATTGTCTGGGCTGACGGTAAGAAGGCAAGAGTGACTGCTCCATAATTTTTCTTCTCTGTCAGGTGACTAGGATCCTTTTAAAAATTTAATTTGTTCTATTTTCTTTTTTTGAAACAAGCAGATTAAAACGTAAGTATCCAAGTGGGGCCAGCTTTGAAAACAGTAACTCTTTGTGTTCACACTCCATGTAGTTCACAAACAATTTGGGCATAACTCAAGATATCTAGAATGCCTTTTTAAAACTTGCTTTTATTTTATTTATTTTCTTTTTTTTAATTTGCAAACCACATGTATTCTTAATATATATCTTAGCATCAAGACTATATAAAGAACTCTCAAAATGCAACGGTAATAAAGCCCAAACAATCCAAATAAAAAAAGAACAACAGACATAGACAGCCATTTCATTAAAGAGAATATACAGATGGCAATTAAGCACTTGAAAAGGTGTTCAATGTTATTGGCCATTAGAGAAACACAAATTAAGATGACAATGAGCTATCACTACACACCTATCAGAATGGCTAACATAAAAAGTAAAGATAACACCAAATACTGCCAAGGATGCAGAGAACTGGACCACTCACACATGGCTGGTGGGAATTAAACTTGCTTTTAGAGCCAGGTCACAGGCCAAACCAGAAGTCCTGCCTTGCTATGGCATGGTCCTCCCTTGACGGTGATCCCAAATGTTATCACCTACCGTGATTACACATGTGATTGGCCTGATTTGGCTCTATGTGACTTTTGGTTATTTCAGGAAACGTTTCACCATTAAAAGACAAATATTTGGCCACAGCTCCCCTCTGAGAACGTTTCTATAGTATGTGGCATAGACTCGAACAATAATTCAAAATGATGATGGCAGAGCAAGAAGGTGGAAAGAACCTTAATGATGCCACTGAGCCACAGAATCAGCCACCCAGGAGCCCGCCTACTTCTGGACTTTGGGTGAAAATTAATAAATCTTTGTTTAACAATTTTTAGTTTCTGTTTCTTATAGATGAGAGTGCGTTAACTGAGAGGAGTGCTATGATGGCGGGGAAAGCAGAGGACGGATAGGAAAGACTACCTGGAGGAGGGGACATCTGGGCTGTCCAGGCAATGACAGGAGTTACCCAGGAGAAGTCTGATGTCGGAAGAACCACTTCTGGGATATGAGAAAGTGCACTGCATTCTGCGAGCGAAATGCCTTAGTCTGGTGGGAGTTTAGGTCATTGTCCAGAGATAGAGGGGAAACCAGACACCGGCCTCATGGTCCATGTTGACAATTTGAATATTTATCTTGACATTTATGGGAACCATTAAAGGATGAGCCATTAAAGCAGGGACATAACACAGTGAGAATTAGAGTTACTAGTAAGAAAGAGTGCTGCCTCAGAGTGTGGAGACGGAGAGGAGGGGTAAAGTCGGTGAAGGAACTGCAGGAAGACTACTGCAGACATCCAGGCGAGAGACGGAGGGGATCTGGCCTAAGAAGAGGTGAGGACGTATTTTAGAGGAATCAGGAAGCAAAATGGGCAGGATTTCATGACTGTTTGTGGAGCAAAGGGAGAATGGGGATTCTGGGAAGGCTCCGGATTTCTGGCTGGGGAGACGGAGTGGGTGGTGATGCCTTTACTAAAATAGAAAATACAGGAGGAGGAGCAGGTCTGAGGGGAAGCTCATGGGCCTCAGCTTGCGTGTGGGTGAGGCCAGGTTGCCTCTGGGACCATCTGAGGAGAAAGGTCAGTGAGCAGTGGGAGACATGTGTCTGGACTCAGCAGCGAGGTTGGGATGTTCGAGTCACCGGAAAGTGGTGGAGTTGAAGCCACAGGTCCGCTGGATTTCTCTCTCCCAGAGATGAAAAGAGAAAGAAAGGGAGCTAAGTTATTGAGAAGCAACGACGGCCTCTTTCTACTGTCCCTCCTGAGGTGGAGGGAAGGGGACAGCACGTCGAGTTTGGAATGAGAAGACCTGGTTTCTAGCTTGGCCCTGTCACTCGCTGCATGACCTTTGGCAAGTCAATTGACCATCCGAAATATGGGGACAGATACCCGGGTTAATGCCTTGTTGTGAAGATCAGTTGAGCCCTGTACCTGGACTTCCTTCAGAAGGGGTGTGCTGTTGCTCAAAAATATAATTCTGTAAATGTGATCTTCTTATGAGGGAGGACTCCAGCTCTGAAGGACACAGAAGGGTTTTGTAAGTTCTTTAAAGTGTTCTGTATGTATGTTTTGAGTTTAATCATTTGTTCTGAAGAAGTATAAGTGTGTCCCATAACTGAGTTCTAGAATTGCTGAGAAAAGAAAACTTACAGTTTCTGACATCAAATGCGGCTGTTAGTATCACCAGGGACGTGTGGGGTGTGTTTGCTGAGGGGTGTGGGGAGCAGAAAATCTAGGTCAGAAGAAGAACTAGGAACAGGCACCAGCGCTGGTGTTCACATAAAGGCACGAGGACGTTTCACGCGGGCCGTGTCCCCGGGTCTATGGTTTCGGAATGGTCTCATGGGAATCTGGAGTTGGGCCTGCGTGGCAAATGTCAAACAGGAGGGCGGGCAGGGATGAGGTGAAAGCGGCCATTTGGAAATTGGCTCTTCACGGTAAGAACCACATTTTGTGCTTAGTTCTCTGACCTGAAACTAGCTGTCATTTTAGTAATCGTGGCTCACACCCATCCACCTCCTCCAGCGACTGAGAGATTATCGCTCGATGCCCGCCACTTCTCCCCACCACCTGGCGTTCGGTCTGCCTGAGACTGTGTTCCCGGGGAGGTGAATTTCCAGCCTATTTTTGGTGTCTAGAACACCAGGTTTTAAAAAATCCATTTTCTGTAAAGAAGAGTATTTGGGGGGAGGTGGTTTCCTCCTGCTGTTGAGGGGCCCCAGACTTCCTGTGCTCATCTCTCCATCTACTCGGCTCCCCCCTATCTCTTGTCCCCATCACGGAAACCTGAGCAAGGAGTTCGGCCTGAACACGGGAGGGTTGACGCTCCACTTTACCGTGTCTTAATTCTCATAACGCTGCCTACAGAACACACTGCTGGTTCCATGCCCGACACTAAGTTAGATGTGCAAAGAGGATGAAATGTACAGTTGGGAGAATTTTAAAATTGGATGGAATTACTGCTCTTAGAGGCATAGCAGAAATTTGAAATATTGAAGAAGTTAATGACATAGGATTAACTTAGTGCTTTTAGGCCGCTGTTTTAGTAGGAAGAATTGAGGTCGAATTAGATGTACTAAAGAAGCAGTCAGACAGACTGACAAATTCAACTGGTGCTGGGTAGCTGCAGGTCCGAGTTTGTGACACAAACACAAAACACCCGGCGCCCGGCTTTTCAAATGCTTCTCTCACAGGAGAAGTGGGCTCTAGTCACCTGGCAGGAGTTCCCTGTTCACCATTCTGTGACCAGCATCTAGTGAGCACCTGCTGTTTGCACGTAGATACTGGGAATGCAGAGGTGAATAAGCTGGGGCCTTCGCCCTGCCTGGGGACTCACAGGCTGGAGGGGGTGGGTTGGTGGCAAGCTGGGCAGACATTTTTTGTACCTTCTAATGAAAAAGTCTGTTTAGCCTTTTATTGAGCTCTAAAGGCCAAACACAAAAGAGCATCCCGGGAGTGAGTTGCAGAGTCAGTCCAGAGATGGCTTGGAAAACAATGGTGAGGCTCCCAGCTTGTTACTCAGCTCTGGGGGAAGGGACAGGTGTTGCCACATATGCAGAGGGACCCACAGGCAGGGCCACTAACCCCCATGAGGCAAACATTCTGTGAAGCTCGGCCAGAAAGCCCCTCTCGGCTTTTCTCTTCACTGCACAACTGCAATGGACAGAGTTTGAAAAGGAAGGAGTTTGGCCTTCTGATGGAGTTCCACACGAGCATGCAGAAATGCAATCTAGCAATTCAAGAAATGTGTACAGAGCACCTGTTTGGGGCCGTGATTTGTACTAGATGCTGGGAAGATGCAAAGACGGTGTGGCTCTGCTCTCAGTGAGCTCACAGAGCCGTGGAGGGGTCAACCATTCATTCATTTACCACCTATTAGGGAGGGTCACCTTTCTGCTGTTCTAGACACTGAGGCAGACCCAGCCCCCGCCCTCACAGAGCTTTGTCCTGTGGCCAACACACAAATGGCAATCAGGATCCCATGGGGTAAGGACAGCAACCCGAGGTGGATGTACAGGCACCTCAGAGCACGGACGCTTGGCCTGCCCATAAATAACTGTCATGTGAGCCAGGATCATAAATGCCTTGAATAAAGTGCCTGTGAAATGCCGGGGAATCGCTGAAGAGGAAGTCCTTAATTTTCCCAGGGCAGTAGGGAACGGGAGGATCGGTGAGGGTTCTGGGGCAGAGGTGGTCAAATGTGTGTGTGTGGGAGAAGGGCATCTGGAGGATGGGGAGAGCCTGAGAAAGGGTGGTGTGTATACTGCAGAGTGACCTGGGGGCAGAGATGTGTGTGTGTGTGTGTGTGTGTGTGTGTGTGTGTGTGTGTGTGTTCATGCACATGAGCATGATGAAGCTGGGACCAGACGGCTTAGATTTCAACCAATTGGTAATGGGGGACCACTGAATGCTTCTGAATAAGGAAGTGACATGATCTGATCTGTCTTCCAGAAAGATCCCTCCGGGACTAGTATAGAGAATGATTGAAGGAGGAAGATACAGGAGGTGATGGGGTCAGTCAGGGGGCTATGGCCACAGTCTGAACAGGCAGAGGCAGCAGGAATGAGTAATACTAATAATACGGTGGCCACTTACTGAGCATCGGCTTTGGGATGGGACCATTACCTCTAATCCGTTCCACAACCCTGCAAAACAGATACAGCCTCCACTTACAGATGAAGACACTGAGGCTCAGGGGGCAAGTGACTGGCACGGGCCGCACAGCTAGTAAGCTGGGATTCAAACTCAGACGTATCTGCGTCCAAAGTCCATGCTCCTTTTGACTGCATCGGCTCCTCTCTAGCAAGGGGATTGCTTGAGACATATCACGAAGAAAAGTATTCAGAGCAGAGGACAGTGCTAGCAAGTCAGAGAGCACTCCATTCAGACCCGGGAGAGGGAGTTAGGAGTGTCACACTCTACAGGCATTGCAGTAGGGTCATTATATTCTACGTAAGGACATCTTGGGTGGATTTTAAGGGAGTGTTGGGGGTGAAAGTCAGATTCCAGGGTTCCCGTGGAATGAATGGGAAGGGAGGGAGTAGAGGCACCAGCATTGGGAGAAAAAGAGAGGCAGGAAATTGGAAGCTGGATTGAGTAATGGAGTTGAGGGAAGTTTTTTTGTTTTGTTTTTTTCCTTTGAACTTTTCTGGGGAATAGGGAAAATTTAAACAAGACATTAGGTTCTATTTGCAATGAGAGATGAGCCATATGTTCACAATACCCACAGGTAAGGGAGAGATTGCTCACCAGGCGGCAGACCCTTCTGTGACCTTGATAAGATCCCAAAGAATTGAAGGTCACCTTTTCCTGAGTCAGCAGCCAAAGGACATTTTGACCTTGAAAAGCTCTAACATCGAAGGCACATTTTTTTTGCAACCATCTTACTAGATCTTGCAAGGTGAGAACAGTTAGAGGGACAAATACTGGGGGTGTTCAAGTTCCGAACCAAGTCATCCTATCTGGTTTGTGCTCCACAGACACTTTCTGAGTCACCTCTCATGTACCGACACGTTTCTTTCTATAACAAGCATAATTCTTAGTGGTGAGACAATGGTGGCCTCAGTGCTGCTGGGAGCCAGGGATCAGGATATCCGAGGCGCCGAGGCCAGGCAGGGGATATTGGCCTCACAGACTCCCCAGTGGCCTCTTGAAGGCCACTTTTACTCTTCTGCACAAAACAGGGGCTAAGATGCAGAGTCTGCCAGTGTGAGGCATGAAAGTTGGAAGAGGTCCAAGGCCTCTTCAGCTTAGCAAGTGGCCACTACAACTCAAGTGCAGGCTGGGTGTGCATGGCCTTTGTTGAGTCTTATTTCCACCCACACCCTCATCCTATAGTCCCAGCGCTGCTGAATCTCACAATGCGCACAGAATTCCACATGGGCTTGCTCATTTCTGAGCTTTAGCAAAAAGCCCAACTCACCTTCATTACATCCTAACAACTGATGTTGCCACACTGCCACAAACCCACCTTTCACGGTGGGACCACTTGCTCCCTCACCTGTGCTGCCTGAGCTCTTGGATAAGAGCATCTACAACAGCCCTTTGGATGGATTGTTGCCCACCCCCCAGAGACCACGAGCATCTCAGGACAAGGATGATGTCTTATGCCAACCGCACTTCCATCCCCTGGGCTGGTAGCTGGCATACAGGTGCTCAGAAGGAACCCTTTTGATTGAGGTGAACTTCTCTTTTGGAAAGCAGCTGTGTGTAATTCTTTAGAAACAAAGGCATGTGTTGTTATTTTAAGTCAGTGACCAGACAAGAGTAACCTAAACTCCCCAGGGGGCCCCTGGCCTCACATCACCTACCTTCAGAGTATCTCCAGTGTGAAAGCTCAGCTCATCCTCGCCTGAGGCGGTGAAATCAAACTTGGCGATGGCTTCCATGTTGTAAGGAGAAGCTGGAAGAGAAAGAACGTGGTCATTGTGCCGTTCCGCCGGGAGAAGGGCAGCGGCGCAGATGGTGCTGTGTGGCAGTCTGAGCAGTTGGTAGGCGAGTGGTCCACTGTCTCAGGCTGGAGAGCCTGGCGCAGGCGTACTGTGAAGTGAAGACTCTTGTTTTTGAGAAGAGTCTTGCTGGAGCCTTTAAGGCCTGCTTCCTGGCATCACTCTCTAAATCCCCAGATGCCAGGAGCAGGAAATGAAAGCCAGAGACTGACTCTCTTTTCATCTCCCTTTGCCTGGCCCGGCCTGTCACCATTTCTGGGGCATCTCCATTTCCAGTTGATAGGGAAGGAGACTTGCTATCATCTCTAACTTGAGGCCTGAGGGGCCAGAAAGACTGTTCTCTAAACACAGTCTGGTCTGAGGCTGCCCCTTGGCAGCTATATTTAACCTGGTGGTGTTAATTAGACAGATGCCATTGCATCTTTTACATCTGAATCATTTAAGAGAATTAGACAGTGCTGGCCACTGGGGACCTTCAGGTCCTTCTGCACGTTTGAGAGTAGAAAGCTTTCTGGTTTTAGAGTTGGGAGACTCGATTAGTCAGCTTCCTAATTTATGTTATTAATATTGTGTAAGCCAAGTACATTTGGAAAATTTTCATTTTAATACTTCTGAATTGAGTTAAAATATTGACCTCTCCTAGTAACAGATGAGACCTGTGTAGAGATAAATAGGTCAGCCTACAAATGAAATAGAGGTGTTTTTTTGTTTGTTTTGTTTTTTTGTTCTAGGAGGCAGTGGGGATGTAATAGAGAGCTGAGACCTGATTTGTTGGTGAACAGCTGCAAGCAACTAACCTCTTGGAGTCTCAGTTTCCTCGTCTGTAAAATGGGGGTCATAATATCCAACTAGTAAGAGGGTGAAACTAAATTAAATAAATAGATGCAAAATGTTATAGAAGGTAAAGCTAAGTAGCATTTTTGTTTCAAAATAATCTGATGGAATGAATTTATCCTCAGCAAAGGTAGGCTGGCTAACACAGCTCAAGTTTTCTTCTCATCTCTCCCATCTCCTAGAACTTTCTCATGGAAATTTGATGTTTATTCTCTGTGACACTCAAATCCTTTGATCCTCTGCTAAGATGGCTTACTGTCTGGACACAGTCTTGAAAGCTGCTGGTTGGTTTTTATGTTTTGCAAAATTTGCCCAAGTCCAAAACCCTTTAGGTTAGTGACACTCAAACTTAATTGACTTTCAGTGATCAGTAAATTGGGACCAGTAAATTGTCCCCTCAGTGGGGATTTCTGCCTAAGTGACAAGATTTGGGTAAATAAGGAAGGAAGGCCGCCATGGGTGGGAGGGTGCAGCGGCGGGCCGAGATCAGGGGATTAGAGCCTTAGAGCCGACTACTTCTGAATTTAGTTAAAATACTGACCCCTCCTAGTGACAGAGGAGACCTGTGTAGTGGTGATAGCAAGGGGCTCATCTCTTTGATTTTCCACATTTGCTTGGTCGTCCAAAGGTAATTTGTAGAGATGAGTATTACCAACCCCAAAGAAAGATATTAAGTGAAAAATATTTCAAGAGCCAAAGTAAAATGTCACTGCTGCCTGAGCTCTATCACACATCAAAATGATTTTGAAAGAACAAGAAAAAAGTATACTTTTTGTACACTTTCTTCAAGATCTGTCCATCTAAGGCAAATTAAAAATTTTTGTGACCTAGGATGACCCACTCAATGGGAAGGCCTATTCTGCCCTCCTTAGTGAATACTAAATGCCTTTGATGATTTGATTCACTCCATTACTTTAACATCCAAAGCTTCCCCTAATTAAGGCCTTGCCTCTAGTTGGCACCACATTAAGATGTGGTGTCTGAGGGTCACCCTCATGGTATCAACGGTGAACACTGGTCACTTCAGGAGATCAAGTGTCAGGTGAATGGTCCTGAAAACCAAGATCCCATTTCCATGCAAATTTACCTTAATGAGCAGGATGGAGACAAGGGGAGTGCAAATGCTAAACATATTAGAAAGTCACATAAATTAGAGATGAAAAGAATATTCAAGGCCTGCTCTAGATGTGACCTTGAGCTTGGGAAGATCTGTCCTCCATTGCATGTAACTCCGATCAGGCCTCGGCCCAGGCTGGCTGTCAGTCACTTCAGAGAGAGGGCTGAGGCGGAAGCAGAACTGCCTCTGAATAGGGGCACTTTTCTCCTTCCCCCACGAGGCAGGTGGCTGGCTTTCAACGACACAGCCACATCACATAGCTCCCCTGCTTATAATATTAATCCTGGCTCAGAAAACCCAATTAAATAGGCCCACTCTTCATGAAATCGCTTTGAAAAAATTTGTTTGCATCCCATTTCCATTTGTGAAATGAAATCTTTCAGCTGCTGTTCGGAGGAGGAAGCTGTTCAGGGGGGAGTGAGGTATGCTTTGTTTTTGTTCAAATCACAGGGCTTTGCAAATTCTTCCCTTGATTTTACCATTCTCTGCCTCCCGAATAGCAGAGGATGGTGCATGTGCCACCCCTGGAGGCCGGTCTCCTGTTTGATCATAGGAATGCGTCAAAATTTATATCTCATTCCTCTATAGCCATCCGTTTTAATTTAATTTGGGAAAGTTTAAGATTGCCACCAGGGAAAAATAAAACTGAACTAATATAGTTTATTCAATAGGTATCTGTTTGTTTTATAATCTGTACCCACTACCATAAAACATGGTAGCAACACGTTTGAGATAGAAAAGAGGAAAGAGAGAGAGAGAGAGAGAGAGAGAGAGAGAGAGAGAGAGAGAGAGAAATATGAGGGGGAAGAGAAGCTGTTTCTAGAATTAGAATTCGAGAGTGCAATGCCTTCTCCATGCTGTCTGCAGTAACAGTGCTACTGACCTCACAGGGAGAGGACAGAGCCACCCCTTCAGAGAACCTCCAGATGGATTAAATGTGCTTTTTCCTGCCAGTGATCAGCTTTAGAAATGGCTGAAATGCTATCTGCCAGAGTGTGTGAATGAGAAGTGACAGTTTCCAGGGGCAGGCAAGCCACCTCCAGCAGCCTCCCCCTAATCCTACCTCATAGCCCAGGTCTCCTGTCCCTACTGCGACCTCTGCTTCTCACCAGCCCTCCGCATGGGCCTCACTCCCCCTTTACTAATGGCAGGGAATAGCCATTAGCGGCCCCGACACAGATCTGCCTCACCGCAGGGCAGCACCGCACAGGACTCCCCAGGCACGATTTTCTCTGCCCTTGCATTTCCCTTCAAGCTTCTTTCACCACCAAAGAACCTGAAAAAATATTCAGACTAAATATCAGGAATGCTTCTCTACTTCTAAAATAGAGTCACCACAGAGAATGGAAACAAAAGCCACGAGACAGTGCTGTAAGACAGCCATCCGAATTGATGTCGTTTACCTACATATGAATACCTTGTCACACATAATGTCAACACATATAGCAATTTTGGTGAAATGTAGCTGATGAAGCATTCCTCTTCTGTAAATTCGAATACTGCTCTAACAACAAAGTCATGTGATATGAAATTAGTTAGATTTTGCAAGAAGAGCTCTTGCAACAAAACTCTCAGCCTTTCCCCCTCCGTCCTATAGCAACTTAGTATCTGGAGCCATTAATAATTTTTTTTTCAATCCAGAAGGCATATAGAAACCTTTTCAAATTTTTTATCTGATTTGTTCATGCAGATGTAGTTCTATCAAAAGACCTTATGTTACCTTAAGATATTTGTTGCACTGTGACCTCTGTGCACTGCTGTGCTTAGAAATTTCTAGTTCAGTTCATTAAAAGCTGTAAAACCAATCTGTATCATGTACCAAACTGATTTAAGGTAAATCTACATGTTTATTGAAAAGAAAACCCTTAACTGAAAGCCAGAATAAGTGGATGTGTTCAGAAACACATGGTTACCATCAAAATGGTAAGAAACTTCTTAAGAGATTTCAGCTCCTCCTAAGATGGCTATGAATAGTCAAGGTTTCTGTTTTATGCATCTCTTAAAAAGAGCAATTGCGTAACACCAGAAGCTGTTTGAAGATTCAGGCTCAGGATCCATCGAAAGAGGGAGCCAGGTCCTCAATTGAATCAGTGACCACACTTCCTATTTTTCTGGGGAGAGTTCTAATTTGAAGATCACATGACTTGCCCCAATTTATACTGTCATTCAGTTAAGATAATGCTTTGGGGGGAAAAAGAGGGAGAAACACTGCTCTTTATAAGACTCTTAAACAACATGGGGGTTTGGGTGCTCACCCCCCAGTCGAAAGTCTGCCTATAGCTTTTGACTTCCCGAAAGTTTAGCTGTCCCTCAGTGTCCATGGGGGATTGGTTCCAGGATCTCCACAGATGCCAAAATCTGAGGTTGCTCAAGTCTCCTAGATCAGTGTATACAGTAGGCCCTCCACTTCCCTGGACTCCTCACCTCAGGTCAAAAATTATACAGACATTTACTAAAAAACAAAAACAAAACCACCCACATATAAGTAAACTGACACAGTTCAAACTCCTGTTGTTCAAGGATCAACTGTATTGCTTGTAGCATTTTATCAGGACATTAGCAACAAATATAATTTTTATGAATTTATCTTGTGCATCAAATAAAGTGATAGAATAGTGAGGAGTTAACACAGAACAGTGAGGAGTTAACGTTTTAGGTTGTGGGCTGTAGCTATGAAGAGGAGCTTGGCTAAAAGTGTAAAGTTGTACCAGCCATTGAACTTCACCTAAGGCAGACACTCGGAAGCCACAGCTTTCTATTTGTTAGGCAAAGCCCCACCTGGAGACAGAGCATTTGCTGCCCTCGGGAACTGATGGGTCAGCTCAATGACTTTCCAGAAATAGGAAACCTTACCCCGCCAGGAAAACTGTAGCTAAGCCTCACTGTACACAATAGCTCTGTTCTTGAAAAGTTATTATGAATAGGGTATTCATAAATGAACCATATTAGCATACATATGGAAGCTCACTCCATAAAAGAACCCCCGTGGTGAATCCTTTTACA